AACGGTTTTCTGACACCTCCAGAATTGTTGTGTACGTCTCAGAATTGTAAGCCTTTTCTCTACATTAAAAATAAATTTCTGATTAATCTGCAGCTTCCTTCCTGTTCTTGGTCCAAACATTTCCCTAAAACATTACCAAATGGTAGCTCTAAATTTCCTCTAACTAAACATAACAAATATATTGTATCAAACCCACCTACATATGCAAACATTTAACCACCTTTTCTAAGGCTATGTGAGAGGTACCATTCTTCCAATTTGAGGTAGGTCTTTGCATGTGAGCCGTGGAAGGTGGCTCTCATCACCTCTCCTCTTTTCAGCAATCATATGCTCTTATTTATCCAATTCTCTCTGACTTATCAACAATCTATTTTTCTCTCTATCAAATGGTTCACACCAACCTCCAAAGATGCATTATTTTTCCCCATCTTAAAAAAAGAAATGCTTTTTTAAAATTTAATTTTTATTTTTGATGTATATTTTCATTTTTAATTGACTAATAATTATATATAAGGGATGCAATGTGGTATTTTGATATATGTACACTTTGTGGAATGATTTATCAGTCTAATTAACATAACCATCACCTCATAAAGTTATATCTTTGCAGTAAGAACATTTTAAATTTATTCTTTCAGCAATTTTGAAACATACCACATATTATTATTGACTGCGGTCATCATGTTGTACAATAGTTCTTGAAAATTTACTACTCCTCTCTAACTGAACCTTTATACACTTTGGTCAACATCTCCCCATTCCCCAGTTCCCCACCTTTCACCCTTTTCAGCCTGTGGTAACCACCATTCTACTTTCTACTACAAATGACTCTAAACCCTAACTTCCAACTCTAAACTTCCAACTTCTGCCCTATATTTTCTTGTTTGTACAACTTCCTGTAAAATTTTATGTGCACAACTTTTACTATTTCCTAGCCTTTAACTTACTCTTTAGCCCATGCCAATATGACTTTTTCTTATGCATTTCAAAAATAGACAATCTTTTCAAAAAGTCATTTGTAACCTCCAAGAGACTGAATCCATCAATATTGCTTAAAACTATGTTTCATTAGATCTGTCAGTAGAGTGAAATTATGAATCAATTTCTTTGCCTTCTTTAAAAATCAATCTGTTTTTTCCTATATAGGTTATTTTTGGTCCCTTTCTTTCTCAGCATTTACCTAGACATCACGATGAGTTTCTCAAAACCAGATGCTAGACCACCTTCTTTCTGTCAGTATCCTCACTTGCTGAAGCATCTATTTGTGCTAATAGCAATAATTCAAATATTCCAGTGATTTCCAAATAAAATAATAGTCACTCCAATTTTTCTCAAATTGTTCCCTTGCTCTCTGAAACTACTTTTTCATCTCTTTGCTAAATAATCATCTCTTGGACACTTCAAAGGCAGGCACCTCATATTGGTCATGACCTCACTTGAACTCATTCTCTTCCCCCATAATCTGGTTCTTCTCCAATCATCCTTAGGTACATGAATGACATATTCCATTCCAGTGCACGTACCAGAAACTTAGAGTTATTTTGGAGTCATAAATATTATCAAATTTCCATCCTGTATAACTTCTATATCCATCAATTTCTCCTTATGTTCACAGCTTAAAATAAAGCTGTCTCACCCTTGAAGTACTGTTGTCAGTGTTCATCCAACTTACTTATATTTATTCTTGCCACGTACAATCTGGTCTTCACATTGCTGCTATGCCTAAATTATCCTAAAACCTTTCGGTGGCTTCATATCGTGTTAGCATAAATTTGCTTAAAATTATCTGACCACTGTGACCTCAATAGCACCATCTCACATCACCTCCCATGTTCCACCACACCTTGAAGTTTCCAGACACATTGTTGTCACCTTGAGGTTACCTTGTTGTTACGTTGAGATTACCAGACACATTGTTGTAACACTCTGTTGTTACCTTGACTATGCCTTGATCCCTCTCATTTTAACATTTAAAGATTCCTGGATGAAAAGTGTTTTTTCTCCCCACCCCAACACAGATACCATAGTTATCTTCTATTCAAACAGTTGTCCTCAGAACAAACGTTTCTTCAGGAAATCCTCTCTGACAACAAGAGATTAATTTATTTTTTCTTCATGTGAACTCATCACTTGGTACTTTTGCTTTAAAGCACAAATCCCAGTCTATTATTATATATTTGCTTAATTTTTTAGTTATTATTCTATCCCCCCACCTCAACTAGACCACAATTTCAATAAGAACAGGAATGATGTCTGTTCTATTGATCACTTTATGCCTAACATGTTTTTCAAACAGTCAGAACTAAATGTGTATTTTGGAATGAATACTTTCTCTTCTAAAAGTGTTTAAATAAATCGCCTAGCCACAGAATTTAGAACACCCAGAGTTCGTGTACTTAAAAACCATTCAAACACTCTAGAATTTTTCACCTTTCTAGGTTCATTTTGATTTAATAAATGAAGATATTCTTCTATTCATGTAAATTCTTAGGTTACATTAATAGGATACATGTTTTTGAGTTAACCTGCTTTCTATTCTAGTGGGATTTAACATCCTAGGAATTCAACTTTCCCTATAGGTCTTTCATCATATCTGCAAAGGAGGTCTGTTATGCTTAGGTCACTGAGCTGCTTAAATACTCTCCATAAATTTCAGAAGTTTATAATTTCTGTGCCACATCTTAGCTGACAACATATTTTGTGTTAAAGCATCTTTCTCATAAAGTTCTGTTTTTGCCCAGTAGAAAACTTCTGCCACTGCTAGGATCCCAGACTGTGAGCCTTTGTTATAAGCATGGTAAGTAATAAAATCTTCTCATGGTCGCTTTGGCTAAATTCCAGAGAGTTCAATGGCTTATCCTAAACATTATGTTGTTTTGTCAACATTCTGCAAAAAAGATTGACATTTCTCTCTGCTTTAGTAGCATATAGAGGATTGGAGGGCCTTTGCAAAAAAGGTTGAGGTCAGAATTAGAAAATATTAAGGCTCACATGGTGCACTAGAAGTTACCTTGTCTATAAACAAAAAACAACACCGCCAGATTATCTTCAGGGTTCATATATTAACTATTTTATACAGCAGAATCATATTCTATGTCAAGCTAGAATATAATTGTAAAAAAAATTAAAAACAATTATTTTTCTGTGAGCTCAAACATACATCTTCTCGTAATTGTATCACACATACATAAATCAGAAATAAATTTTAATAGTGAAAGCATCAAAGATAAAAGATTATGCAATATTAGGATATAAAGTAATAAATGAGGATTAAGTAAAAATGTCAGGCCTTGTACATCAAATGGGTTACATACTTCCACACATCCAGGATAAAACTATTGTGTTTAGAATTCTCCTCTAAAAGCTCAAAGTAAAACTAGCTTTATTGTGTGTGTCTTTTAGTCATTCAAATTTTCTGTAGATACATTTAGATAATTTTACTCTTTATCAAATTACATTCACCATTAAAGAAGGATGATTTATTCTATCATTTGGGAGTATATGTTTACTCAAACATACAGGCAATAAGAAATATCTGAAAGGAAATACATTTAGTTTTTAGTAAGAATTGATACAATAAAAGAATTTTATTTTCTTCCAGATTTTTTTGATATTTAACAATAATTATATCAAAATAAATCCATAACTAATACATTAAAAATAACGTTTTAAACTTTGAACATGGCTTTCCAGTTTTTGTTTCTTGCTCATAAACCTGCAATAGCTTCCACCATGGCAAAAATATTGGCAATAAAATGCCTTGAAAAATTACTAATTTTAGCATAGAGTAAGTATTATATATATCTGCAGTGTAGAATACAAATAAGTTCAAAGCAAGAGATCATATTCACTTCGGTTTGAGTCATATCTGAGAGTGTTTTATGCAAAATGAAGGATTGTAATAAATAATAATAACAAATAAATAAGGATTATAATAATAAAGTATTGTATTTAAAAGAAAATGTGAAGCCATGTATTATTTTAAACAAAGGAATACCAATGTTTGAAAGATCAGATTGCTAGCAGAAAGAAAGAAGTGTGGAAAATGAGAAACATTTGCTCCAGGCAGGTTGCAGAAAGAATACTGAAAAAAAAAAAAGAGTGCATATGAAGTAAAGAAAAGAAATCAACAATATAAGAAGGCAATCATTTGCAGCAAGGGGAGGTTAGTTTTCTAGATTCAAGCTTGTCTGGTTGAGCCACCATACAGAACAAAAAGTACATGGATAACAACAAAGTCTTAGAAAAGATAATGAGTCTAATTTTAACAGTGATTTTTGAATATTGAATGGCAATTCCTTCAACATTATGGACAAATAATTCTTGTTTATTAAATAAGTTAAAATTACTGTTCGATGGATAGAAAGTTTTAGTTGTACAAGATGAATAAGTTCTAGAGACCAGCTGTACAACACTGTGCCTGTAGTTAACAGTGTAAAGAGCACTAAAAAAAATGAATAGAGTTGATCTAATATCGTGTTGTTACCACAGTTATCTTTAAAAGCGTCATATTAGTTTTACCTAAATCCTGTATTTATGTCTTTGTAAGTTCTCTAAGATTCAACTATAAAAAGCTTACTAAGGTGTGTCTTAATTATATGACTTCTCACATGGAAAAATTCAGCTATAATCACTAACTTCCTTTTAAGCTACTGTTTTGCAGCCTCTTCAGAAGTGCATACAAAGTAGAATATGAAAGAAAACTATCCCCAAATCTGCAATATGATTTGTTTCTGCAAATATTTAGAAGACTATGATATCAACATTTTGGAAGACTATGTAAGACATTAATGGACATCTACATCAACTTGAAATGATGCAGCTATAAATTTCATCTCCTATAATTTTTCATTTTAAAAACCTAGTTATTATTAGTTGATAAACCTCTGAGTCAAGTAACATTGAGACAAACACGAGGAAAACAAGCACATCCATTTAATCTGTATAATTTCTAAAGAGAAGAAGAAAGACTTAGAAAAACACTACAATTTTATTTCTGTGGTGATTCCAACCTGTGATAACTGAGAACAATACAAATAGAGATTTGAAATTCATGTTGAATCATGAATCATATGTCTGCATCTCTCAAAGTCTCCAATAGCTCCAAATTCCAGGTCTCTGAGTTTATCCTGCTGGGATTCCCAGGTATTCACAGCTGGCAGCACTGGCTATCTCTGCCCCTGGCACTACTGTATCTCTCAGCACTTGGTGCAAATACCCTCATCCTCCTCATCACCTGGCAGAACGCTTCTTTGCAGCAGCCCATGTACCTTTTCCTTGGCATCCTCTCTGTGGTTGACATGGGTCTGGCCACTACTATCATGCTTAAGAACCTGGCCATCTTCTGGTTTGATGCCAAGGTCATTAGCCTCCTTGAGTGCTTTGCTCAGATTTATGCCATTCACTTCTTTGTGGGCATGGAGTCTGGTATCTTCCTCTGCATGGTTTTTGATAGATATGTGGCTATTTGTCACCCTCTTCGCTATCCATCCGTTGTCACCAGTTCCTTAATCTTAAAAGCTAACCTGTTCATGGTGCTGAGAAATGGCTTATTTGTCATCCCGGTGCCTGTGCTTGCAGCACAGCATGACTATTGCTCCAGGAATGAAATTGAACACTGCCTGTGCTCTAACCTTGGGGTCACAGCCTGGCTTGTGATGACAGGAGGCCAAACAGCATTTGCCAGTTTGTCCTGGCATGGCTTGAAATGGGGAGTGATCTAAGTCTTATTATACTGTCATATATTTTGATTCTGTACTCTGTACTTAGACTGAACTCAGTTGAAGCTGCAGCCAAGGCCCTGAGCACTTGTAGTTCACATCTTACCCTCATCCTTTTCTTTTACACTATTGTTGTAGTGATTTCAGTAACTCATCTGACAGAGATGAGGGCTACTTTGATTCCAGTTCTACTTAATGTGTTGCACAACATCATCCCCCCTTCCTTCAACCCTATAGTTTATGCACTTCAGACCAAAGAACTTAGGGCAGCCTTCCAAAAGGTGCTCTTTGCTCTTACAAAAGAAATAAGATCCTAGAGACCTTCTCCGTGACGTCCATGAACCTCAGCTTCTCCTAAACTGGATAGTAAAATTTCAAAGAGGATAAACGAGTAAGTGCATACCTTTGGGATTCCCTTTTTATATTTGTATGTAAATAATTGTGAAAGCTTCAGAAAAGATACAAAAAATCACAGTAGCCTAAAATATTGACAAAACCTAAATATATAAATATATTTGAGAATATGGAAGAATTTTCTGCCAAACCAAATTGGATTTAAAGAACTTAATGATTTATCTATCTCATAAAATAAAAATGAATATAATCACACACACACACATACATTCAATCAGAGAAATGAGTGATTGGGACATGAATTATAGGTCATGCTTACACATCGTTAGCTGTAATTTGGGAGCAAAGTCAGTCTCCCTGAACAAACTTTACTCCAATAATATGGAATATAGAGGCCGGAAAAGAAAGCAATTCAGACAAATAAAGTCAAATCAGAAAATGATGAGGATTTAGGTGGACTATGAGATGACTCAGCTTGGACAGACAGAACCCAAAAGGTTCATCTAGCTAGAAGGATCTGGTGCTTGTGCCATTTGCCTCCCCAGATTTGCTCTCTGTCCTTTGTGCACTGCTCTGTAAACTGGAGGGCTGACTTTCACATATTGTAAGCCCAAACTCCTTTGTCTTTTGGTGTTCAGTTGAATTGAGCCAATGTGATGCCGTGACAGATTATAGTTCAAGAGGAGAGAGCATTTGGGCTATTTATTATTCTACTTCCAGCCTGCTTTGACATTGGGGTTCTCACTGGATGTGTCCCTTCTCTGGTCACCCACCTGCTACAACTACATCTCTTAGGGAAATATAGTAACAGGCTTGTCTTGCCTTCTTTCTTCAGGCCAAGGGGCTGATAAAGGCTTCCTGATAGTAGTCTCTGAGTGTCCAGCATGCATTATTTTTTCAATATCCAGTTTTATTTTCTTAAAACAACCTACTACTCAATAATAGCTTCATTAAATTGTCTTCAGATTCACATTTCTTTGTGCCTTTTTTCCCCTTTCTGAGACCCTGACAGACTCACTGGCTTTATTTATATTACCAGCATCTATCTCTACCATAACTACTCATCCACTACTACTACCACACCCACACAAGAATGTAGGCAGCTTCAGCAAAATCTTTAGATGATCAGATATAAAGACACTGTAGGCAGGAGGTAGATATAGAAATTTTTCCCTGTGAAATTTTTACTTTGAGAGTTTTCTTTTCTTTCTTTTTTCTTAAAAAATAATCCTAAGCAATGAATGGGCAAAATAAGGTTTAATCTATTATTGTCTTGTATTTCAATATTTTCCAGGCCACTTTCCATTAAACACATGCTCAGATTATGTCATTAAATAGTTGGGACATTCCTTGAAATATAAGTATTAATTTCAGGTGCAGGAATACCAGTTGCTAGAAAGTCTATTATACATTATATAATGTCAGCTTCTCTTCCAGTTACATGTAAAAAGTAAACCCTGGGGGGGCGGAGCAAGATGGCCGAATAGGAACAGCTCCAGTCTCCAACTCCCAGCGCGAGCGACACAGAAGACCAGTGATTTCTGCATTTTCAACTGAGCCTCTGCTGCTGATACCCAGGCAAACAGGATCTGGAGTGGACCTCAAGCAATCTCCAACAGACCTACAGCTGAGGGTCCTGACTGTTAGAAGGAAAACTATCAAACAGGAAGGACACCTACACCAAAACCCCATCAGTACATCACCATCATCAAAGACCAGAGGCAGATAAAACCACAAAGATGGGAAAAAGCAGGGCAGAAAAGCTAGAAATTCAAAAAATAAGAGCGCATCTCCCCCGGCAAAGGAGCGCAGCTCATCGCCAGCAACGGATCAAAGCTGGACGGAGAATGACTTTGACGAGATGAGAGAAGAAGGCTTCAGTCCATCAAATTTCTCAGAGCTAAAGGAGGAATTATGTACCCAGCACAAAGAAACTAAAAATCTTGGAAAAAAAAAGTGGAAGAATTGATGGCTAGAGTAATTAATGCAGAGAAGGTCATAAACGAAATGAAAGAGATGAAAACCATGACACGAGAAATACGTGACAAATGCACAAGCTTCAGTAACCGACTCGATCAACTGGAAGAAAGAGTATCTGCGATTGAGGATCAAATGAATGAAATGAAGCGAGAAGAGAAACCAAAAGAAAAAAGAAGAAAAAGAAATGAACAAAGCCTGCAAGAAGTATGGGATTATGTAAAAAGACCAAATCTAAGTCTGATTGGGGTGCCTGAAAGTGAGGGGGAAAATGGAACCAAGTTAGAAAACACTCTTCAGGATATCATCCAGGAGAACTTCCCCAACCTAGTAGGGCAGGCCAACATTCAAATCCAGGAAATACAGAGAACGCCACAAAGATACTCCTCGAGAAGAGCAACTCCAAGACACATAATTGCCAGATTCACCAAAGTTGAAATGAAGGAAAAAATCTTAAGGGCAGCCAGAGAGAAAGGTCGGGTTACCCACAAAGGGAAGCCCATCAGACTAACAGAAGATCTCTCGGCAGAAACTCTCCAAGCCAGAAGAGAGTGGGGGCCAATATTCAACATTCTTAAAGAAAAGAATTTTCAACCCAGAATTTCATATCCAGCCAAACTAAGTTTCATAAGTGAAGGAGAAATAAAATCCTTACAGATAAGCAAATGCTTAGAGATTTTGTCACCACTAGGCCTGCCTTACAAGAGACCCTGAAGGAAGCACTAAACATGGAAAGGAACAACCGGTACCAGCCATTGCAAAAACATGCCAAAATGTAAAGACCATCGAGGCTAGGAAGAAACTGCATCAACTAACGAGCAAAATAACCAGCTAATATCACAATGGCAGGATCAAGTTCACACATAACAATCTTAACCTTAAATGTAAATGGACTAAATGCTCCAATTAAAAGACACAGACTGGCAAACTGGATAAAGAGTCAAGACCCATCAGTCTGCTGTATTCAGGAGACCCATCTCACACGCAGAGACATACATAGGCTCAAAATAAAGGGATGGAGGAAGATTTACCAAGCAAATGGAGAACAAAAAAAGCGGGGGTTGCAATACTAGTCTCCGATAAAACAGACTTTAAACCATCAAAGATCAAAAGAGACAAAGAAGGCCATTACATAATGGTAAAGGGATCAATTCAACAAGAAGAGCTAACTATCCTAAATATATATGCACCCAATATAGGAGCACCAAGATTCATAAAGCAAGTCCTTAGAGACTTACAAAGAGACTTAGACTCCCATACAATAATAATGGGAGACTTCAACACTCCACTGTCAACATTAGACAGATCAACGAGACAGAAAGTTAACAAGGATATCCAGGAATTGAACTCATCTCTGCAGCAAGCAGACCTAATAGACATCTATAGAACTCTCCACCCCAAATCAACAGAATATACATTCTTCTCAGCACCACATCGTACTTACTCCAAAATCGACCATGTAATTGGAAGTAAAGCACTCCTCAGCAAATGTACAAGAACAGAAATTATAACAAACTCTCTCTCAGACCACAGTGCAATCAAACTAGAACTCAGGACTAAGAAACTCAATCAAAACCGCTCAACTAAATGGAAACTGAACAACCTGCTCCTGAATGACTACTGGGTACATAACGAAATGAAGGCAGAAATAAAGATGTTCTTTGAAACCAATGAGAACAAAGATACAACATACCAGAATCTCTGGGACACATTTAAAGCAGTGTGTAGAGGGAAATTTATAGCACTAAATGCCCACAAGAGAAAGCAGGAAAGATCTAAAATGGACACTCTAACATCGCAATTAAAAGAACTAGAGAAGCAAGAGCAAACACATTTAAAAGCTAGCAGAAGGCTAGAAATAACTAAGATCAGAGCAGAACTGAAGGAGATAGAGACACAAAAAACTCTCCAAAAAATCAATGAATCCAGGAGTTGGTTTTTTGAAAAGATCAACAAAATTGACAGACCACTAGCAAGAGTAATAAAGAAGAAGAGAGAGAAGAATCAAATCGATGCAATTAAAAATGATAAAGGGGATATCACCACCGACCCCACAGAAATACAGACTACCATCAGAGAATACTATAAACACCTCTACTCAAATAAACTGGAAAATCTAGAAGAAATGGATAAATTCCTGGACACTTACACTCTTCCAAGACTAAACCAGGAAGAAGTTGAATCCCTGAATAGACCAATAGCAGGCTCTGAAATTGAGGCAATAATTAATAGCCTACCAACCAAAAAAAGTCCAGGAGCAGATGGATTCACAGGTGAATTCTACCAGAGATACAAGGAGGAGTTGGTACCATTCCTTCTGAAACTATTCCAATCAATAGAAAAAGAGGGAATCCTCCCTAACTCATTTTATGAGGCCAACATCATCCTGATACCAAAGCCTGGCAGAGACACAACAAAAAAAGAGAATTTTAGACCAATATCCCTGATGAACATCGATGCAAAAATCCTCAATAAAATACTGGCAAACCGGATTCAGCAACACATCAAAAAGCTTATCCACCATGATCAAGTGGGCTTCATCCCTGGGATGCAAGGCTGGTTCAACATTCGCAAATCAATAAACATAATCCAGCATATAAACAGAACCAAAGACAAGAACCACATGATTATCTCAAATGATGCAGAAAAGGCCTTTGACAAAATTCAACAGCCCTTCATGCTAAAAACGCTCAATAAATTCGGTATTGATGGAACGTACCTCAAAATAATACGAGCTGTTTATGACAAACCCACAGCCAATATCATACTGAATGGGCAAAAACTGGAAAAATTCCCTTTCAAAACTGGCACAAGACAGGGATGCCCTCTCTCACCACTCCTATTCAACATAGTGTTGGAAGTTCTGGCTAGGGCAATTAGGCAAGAGAAAGAAATCAAGGGTATTCAGTTAGGAAAAGAAGAAGTCAAACTGTCCCTGTTTGCAGATGACATGATTGTATATTTAGAAAACCCCATTGTCTCAGCC